GTTTTTGCATTTCTACCCTGTAGACTTGGATTTAGTGCCATGGGGGGGCCCCTCCCCAGCTACAAACTGCAGAGGTTTTGGTAGGTGCCCAGTTGTGAAAAATTGTTGGGTTTGTATGTAGATGTTTGTGCAACAGCTGATTCTTGCCAAAATGCTGAAAAATTTGGGTGCGGCATTACGTTTTAGGGGGTCCATCCCCCTGGTATGATGAAAACATATAGATTTTTTTTTTGAAGTATTTCTGTTGATTTTTTTTGTGCCAGATGGGGACCCCACTCGGCACAAATCAGGACGCACTCCCGGAACCTGTTGCCAGCCTGCTAGCGTCAGAGTTTCGCGCCGGATGTTGTTGCTGTCCAGCACAAGACAGGTCTCAAGTTGTGTGGTTCTGCACAAAACACAGTTTGTATTCTATGATTCTGCACAAAACATTGTTTGTTCTACGCGGTTCTGCACAAAACCTGGTTTGTATTCTTTGGCTCTGCACAAAACATGTTTGGTGTTCTGTGGTTCTGCACAAAACATCGATCGTCTTCTGTGATTCTGCACAAAACATGGTTTGTATTCTATGGTATTGCGCAGAGCAACGTTACATTCTGTGATTCTGCTGAAAACACTGAGTGTATTCTTTGGTTCTGCGCAACGCATTTTGTTTGTTCTATCAGCCTGCGCAAGACATGGTTTGTAATCTGTGGTTCTGATTCCCGCGCAAAGTAATGTTTGCACTCAGTGTAGCCTTGGATTCGGCGCAAGACTTGCCTGACTTCTGGGGTTCTCCAGTTCTCCACAGACAGCTGGTTTTGTACTCACAGTGGATTGGTTTGTGTGGAAGCACCCCTGAGTCCTGAGTTTCACCTTTGTTGCCGCCACCGCTGTTGAATGACCAGCGTGTTGCTTCAGACACAGGAAGACTTTAAAACAGAAACGGTTTGCAGAAACGATTGCGTTCCTTCTGTTAGGGTTTGTTTATTTTTTCTCGCGTCGTGGCCAAACATTTGCACTGTTTTGTTGGCCAGGTGCTCATCATCAGCATCAGGCGCAGCTTGTAGACAAGGCAATTCAAATAATTCAGTGGGTGGATACTTTTCCACCTATTTGAGCTTGGAAGGTTGCTAAAAACAGGCAGTGAACAAACGAGTGACTCAGGTGTGTTCGCACAGTTGACCTTTTTACCTTTACTCTGACATGTACTTTGTTAGGTTCAAGATGGGGGGTAAGCGCAAGTCTGGCGCCAGTGATGGCGCCTCAAAGGCGGCCAGGACTTCTGGCCCCAAGGAGCCAGGCTTGCCAAGTGTGAAGGCAGAAGAGATGGAGAGCACCCATCTTAAGCTTTTCATGGCATGGCTGCGACTTGCTTTAATGGTTCGTGGACCAAGAATGCTTTGAAAATTGTTGTTTCCAGCTATGACGTTGGCCAACGACCTAGTCAAGAGAAGCTCGAGACGTACGGCAACATGGACAAAGCCCTCGAAGCCATCTTCAAGACAAAGGACGCAGAACACGCTTTGCTTTGCCACATGCAATACTTGCTTTTCCAGGAAGATATTAGCCGCTTCGTGCAGTGGGTGGACTCAAAGTTCCCAGCAGAATCCGGTGTGTCATAGCCACAGTGGAATGACTGTTGTCCACAATTGGCTGTGTCATTCTGGGCTTCCTGCTTGAAAGGTGCTACATCACAGACGAGAGCTTGAATTCTAGTGGAGGAGTCTATCTCCGACCATTCCATCTTGTCTTCAACCCATCAGCTGGAGTGAAGGGATTTGCAGAAACTGTTACTAGGCAGCTTGAGGTTGAAAGTCATTACTAGACATCCACTTTCAACTTTCCTCACTCAGCCAAGGACGTGATCACCCAACTTTGCCAGCTGATCTTATGTCACGGGTTGCTCACCTTTTTTTAACTAAATGCGTTTGTGAAGCTCTGTTGATTATATGTCATATTCTTGGGACAAGGTTCCGCACGGATGCCAACGAAGGTGGAGTTGAGAAGTTGAGCATATGTGCTATGCCAATGGCCTTTGGTTGCCAACCTGTTTTCCGCATGAGTTCAGAAGAGCTCTTTCCAGAAACACCTACGATGGTAGCTCCTATGAACGTGTTCATGGTGAAAGGGTGGACACGATCGTATTGCGCAGTGGTTTGTATGGTAGCAGCATACCAACTCCCAGAGCTAGCAGCAGCTCTGCCAAAAGATGTGCAGAAGTCCACTGGCCTAATTTGCTGCAAGTTTCTGTTTCACAATGGTCACAAGTTTCAATGAACATCAATGGAGTGCTATTATTACAGTTTTTGTGTATTGTTCTCAGGTCGCTTTGCACCATCCATGGTGCGGTTTCTATGCTTCCCACGGACGACCCTTCAATGATATTGCTCAAGAACCGAGGCTGTCATGTTATGGCTATATGTAAATGTATCTTGTTCATGCTGTTTAATCAGAATGCTGTTTACTTGCCAGACGCTCAGGCATAACAATGTCCAGCGCGGTAAGACGCCGTCCCAACTGTTTCAACCTGTTATTTCAGTTGCAGCTGAGCAAGCGCATGCACAGAGAGGACGTTGCTGGACTTGAGGCCAGACTGTCCACAGCTTTCGCTCAACATGTTTGATGTGCTTGGTAATTGTTGGGAGGCGTGGTCCAGCGCCTCAGAGCTGGCGGAGGCTTACCAGTTAGGGAAAATGGAATCGGGGGGCAGCAGTACAGCTGATGCAAAATGTGGACACGGAGGTTGTTGAGATTTTGAGTGAGCATGTAAAGAATCTCATCAGCACTGCTTGTAGCATGCTGGTGATTCGGAATGCAGTGGAACGCACTTTGCACGGGCCCGCAAAACTTAGGAAGTGGAGTATGGGGCGCTTTCTGACACATGACCCCATTTGTCAGGGCCTTTTCAACCGTGACTACACTGCAGGAGTCGGTGTTCTGCTTCCCTGGGCTTCCGAGTTGACCAATACCCCTCAGAGTTTGAAGCTCATGTGCCAGAGAATGGAGGCAGACTACTCCCAAACCCGACCAAAGCTGAGAAAAAACCTGGACCTTCAACACAGTTGAGATTGGGCTGCAAGTAAGAGAATATTATGTTACTATGAGTGGACTAGTAGTAGCATAGTTTGTGCAGTTCTTGCGAACTGATACAAATCCACATCCGTTCTAGGAACAGTTGCAGAAGCAATGTAAGGCCTTTTGTGCCTGCATGAAAGCTTTTCGATCCCGCTTCCCAGAGAGCTTTGCGATCGCAGAAGAGGAGACACTTATCAAATCGTTCCTTTGCTAAGTTGTAGGTCTTGCTTTTGCCAGGTTTTTCCTTGCCACTTGCCTTGGTCGTAGGTTTTGCTCGCTTGTGACTCCACAGGTTTCTTGCCCGCCACGCAGACGCGGAGATAGACCTGTTGGTGGAGCAGACGGTCCCTCCGGTGGACATTGCTCGGATTGGAATATTTAGGGTTCCAATGGCAAAACATGCGGAGAAGGCTTGCTGAGAAATTGTGACGCGAGAGTCATGTTTGTCATAGAAGTGATGTTAGCGGTGACCGGTGTTACCTTGTAGAGGTGGAAAAGGACAAGGTTGAGGCTGCCGACAAGCTTCTTGGCCTTACTTGGCAAACTTGGGTATTGCGCGCCCAAGAGCGGTAAAGTCTAAGGGCTGCAGAGATGGTGGCCTCGGCAACTCTGCAAGACAGGGAGACAAAACTGCAGGGTGATTTGGACGCCATGGCCAAGTTCATTGAAGATGCCAAAACCTTTGCCAACAAGCAGGCAGGTTAACAAATCAAGGGGGTTCAACATGCCGTATCCGTCAAACACCGAGTGGAAACATGGAAACACAACAAGTCAGATACACAATTTCAGTCTGTCTCAGGGAGCCATGGATATCAAGTATCTCCAAGAGCGGTACCAGAAAGGCAAAGTCTTTGTGACAGATTTCATGAACAAGGCACATAGGTGTCCAGGCCTTCCACTATCACAAGCCCACGCGGACCTTCTTCAGCACCAAAGAGATGCAGAGAGAAACGACAGGCTATTTGGCTACTAAAAGCGCATTGCTAGAACTTATGTAAAACTCATTAGGTGTAGAGAGTGGACTAGAGGTTGACCATCATGGTGCTGGATGCGTCACTTTGGCCACGGCGTGCTTGACTGAGCGGTTTTTGTTGAATTTTGAGGGTTCAGTCTAATGCGCAATGCCATGCCGTGAGTAAGGCCCTTTGCATTTGGACGAGGCAATAGAGGTTGCGAAAACAATCAGCAACGGCGATGCGGCCGCTGTGTTGTTTGTATTGCTTCCCCTCGCCCACGGTTCGACTGACAAAGAGACGGTGATGAAGAACAAACGAATCCTAGAGGATAAGGTGCTGTCGTTACTTTGCTTCAACGTGTAATCAACCTCTCTCATGAAGTTTCAATGAAGTTTCAGTGCTCTACTTTGGACCGTTTTATCAGTTGTTCTTCAACTAAGGGTCCTAGAGTTTCAGGAGGTGACACTCACGTTCAGCGATTCCCAGCACGCGGGCGACAGACGTCGTCGCAGTCAGAGTTGTACCTCAGCGGCTGTTGCTGAAGTTGGTTGTCTTCATTTGCCTGAACATATATATATATAGATATGGCGTAAATAGTACATATGAAAGTATAAATATATATTCAGATATTGTCAAGCTCCCTAAGTTTGCTTGCTTGATGTAAGGCCTTTTGGCGGTGAGCCCAATACACAAGAACTTTGCGTTCATCAAGAGCAAAGCCTATTTGGGCACCATTGGCCCTGTCGCAAGGGCGAGAGTCATGGATTTATGGACTGACGACGACGCCCGTGTGTGTTCCCCTCCTGGTCGGGTAGCTCGCCTTGTGACAGATTTTCTTAAGAGTTGGAATTGGAATTCAGGTGGTTACAGTAACAGCAGCCAAGTTTCAAGGCGCAAAATAGCCAAACAGCCAAGGCGCAGCAGCGAGGAGCAGAGGCAACAAAGCAAGTGCTGCAGGGTTTGGTCGATGGGCTGGAGCGAGACCACGCCAACGCTTCGGTGTATGTTGTCGACCTCATGCCATCACGGTATCTAGATAGCAAAATGTTAGGGCCAACGCAATCACTTCGTACAAGCGTTCGGTTTTGGTTTAAGCCTGGCAAAGGTATGGGGAATGGAGCCGCGCCGTTTGGTCCATGCAGCTTGAGAAGCTCAAGGGCACGGCCCAGAGCGACTTTGACTGGCACTTTGTGGGTTACATGACCCCAGAGGATGGCGGCAGCGACGACTGGACGTCATACATTGGAAGCCAGATTCATCAGGATTCATGGCCAAAGCTGTAAACAACAGTTTTTTTGGTTTTTGTTTGTTGTTGCTTGCAGTTGGGTTGCCTTGCTATATTTTGTTGCAAGGACTATTGGGACACATGTGATGACGCTGGACCGCCCACTCGCCCTCAAGCTGCCTTTACTGGAACACCGCCGACCATGGAGCTCTGCACGATTGGAGAGAACAATGCGGTTGTGCTCCTTTGGCTTTGCTTCGGTATTTTGAATCATTTTGAACAAGGTTTAAGTTTTTGTTTCCAACTACATATATTATGTTTCTAAGTGTTTGAACATTGTTGGAGTCTTGGCCACAATCAGGTTGCCGGATGCTATGCTTGCTGGCCTTGCGAGCAGTGGCGAATCACTCTTGGCCAAGGTGAAGGCGTTCAACCACTCGCATGACACTGCCATCCTTACCAATTTCCGCTCGCCAAGTTCAACGCCACAGACCCCATCTCGGCCGGGACGGGGTGTGGCCCGCACCATGGCGCAGCCAGTGTTTGACTCACCCAACGCTCCGATGAATCTATCGCAGATGGGAGTCCCGGTTCAGCTTTTGCCACTGGAGGACTTCCACAGTACCATTGAGCTGTTCGGATGGGTTGTGAGCATTTGTTTTTTTGTTGTGCTTTGATGGTGGTTCAAAACCTTTTTTGCTGCTGTGGTATGATTGCTGATTGCAGGTTGGTGTCTCATTGCGGTCATCCTGTCCACAACCAGCTGCGCGTGTGCATCGCCAAAGACCTCACCATCTGGCTGTTGAATGAGGGTGATGCCCCTTTGGAAGTGGAGAGTGGAGAACTCTTCGGGTACAACATTGGTTCTTCCACAGAGAAGGGCATAGGCTGGGTTTCTAGATCTTTGAGTTTTGACATTATCATTGGCCAATTGTGTTCAATTTGTGGTCAACAAAAAACTGATTGCTACCTAATGCCACCGGTGGCCCTGATTCAGGAGTGGCCCGAACCAGTGTGAGAGATGCCATACCATTCATTGTGGAGGCAGACCATACCATGATGGCATTTGTTGACAGCGACGGCAAGAAGACAGGCCTATGTTTTGCTCAAATTGCATGCAGGGCGGCCCAAAAAAGTGGGACGACTGAGTTGGTGCTATGCGACCATGATCTTACCCAGCAGGTTGATACCGACCCAAAGGTTTGTCGCAACAATCTTTTTGCTTTTCCCACAAACTTTTTGCAGTGTTGTTGACTCAATGTGGGGTATGTTTCTTTCCAAGATTGACTTCGATCAGGAAGGCAACGTCAAGCCGTTCCGCTACACAGTGGCGCCCAAGGCCAAGGTCAATGTTTTTGACCCGAAGCCCCTGGAGTCTGGATTGGACCCGATGGCGGCTCGGTATTCTCAGATGGGCGCTCATTTCATCGGCAAGTTCCACCAGTTGAGTTGCGCGCCAACCGCTTTGTGCAAGATGCTTTGGGAGGTTGGGGGGGGCGTTAAAGTTAGTTTTCTTGATTGGCGAAGGTTGGAGTGCTTTGAGTTGTGTGATGTGGGGGGTTGGCGGCAGGTGAAGCTTAATGCTGGAATGCCAGCTTCTTTGGTTCCGCTGAAGCCAAAGATGTGGCTGTGCTGTTGCCTTAAGGTTTCCGGCAAGCAGGCAGTGCAACTCTAAAGTCTTGAGCCTCTAAAGGAAGTATTTCTCCGCTGATTCAGCCATCAATCGGCATTTTGGGATCAGCAACTTTCGTGCCGCAATGCAGCAAGTGTCGCAAGAGAAAAAATGTGGCATTGCTAAATACAGTTGCCGCTCTGTGAGGAATGCAATGATCATTGAGTCTCTGAGTTATGTGTTTTTTTGGGCAATATGCTGACAGCAACTACTTATTGCGTGATGCCATTCCATTTTGAGGCTCTTGAAGCGAGTTCTGTCAAGTGCTATGTTTCGCTTGTTTGGTCCTGCTGGCAACTGGCAGGAAAGAACACCGCCCCCTAGGATGCCAGCAGACGCTGTTACCGAGTTGTCTGATGATGAGCCGGCCCCGAAAGCCAAAACAGCGCCCAAGTCAGTGGCAAAGCCAAAAGCTAAGGGCAAAACCAAAGCCGGGGCAAAGGCTTTGCCCCAAAAAAAACCAGCAGCCGAAAACCCGAGTGAACCTGCCGCGCTGCCTGAGGCGCCTACTGCAGAAGACTTTAAGGTAGACCCACTGCCCGTTGAACCAAAGCCGATGAAGCGCCCAGCCGCAGCCCCAAAAGCAGGAACTTCAAAGAAGCCGGCAACTGGAAATGAAGGCTCAATCCGGTGTTACAAATACCCGTATCACAAACAGAAGGGGCCTTTGAAATGGGGACTCAAACTCAAAGGTCAAGGCGAACAATTCACGGCCTGGTGCTTGGGCTGGTTGTTTGTGACATTTTGTCAGAACTTTAGTCTTCGTCAGGCCAGTCATCAAAGAAAGTTCCAATGATTTATATAATATGTTTCTCCTCGAGGTGAAGCAAGTCGATGGCCTGTCTGCAGACCGCTTGGAAGAGATTGCCGAACCCGGCTTACTTGTTTGTTTGTTGTTTGTTCTCTCTAATAAGTGTTTCTGAGTGTTTGTCAGTTTGCTGAAATTTGGAACGGTTCCACATGTTCTGGTTTCTCTCCTAGGAGTGTTGCCGGGTTGAGTTCGAACGTGGAAAAGACAAAGAGACCGTGAAGCAAATGTCAGCCACTGTCTTAAGCTGCAAGTTCGGTGAACAAAACAGCTCAAACATCACAAACAAACACACAAACAAACAATTGCATTTTCCATGTTCAAGGAATGCATGATCAGGGAGGCCGTGGCCAAGAGCACAGGCGATGCTGGTGGTGAGACCTATGATCACGATACTGCGGATGATCCTCCAGCCGAAGGCGAAGAGGAAGAGGAGGTCGAAACCGACCAACTCATGGGAGTTGATGAGAAGGATATTGAGTGAAGGCTTTAAGAGCCAGACACCACGCCCAAAGCGAACAACCTTGCCAGCCGCGACAAAAAATGAGAGCAACAGCTCCTGCAGCGGCAGTGGTGTGGTGTAGTAGGTGTAATGTAAATGCAGCGCTAGCTAGAAGGCCATCAAAATGCACCTTGTTTTTTGAAAGGTGTGTATGGTGGCTTTTATGCAAAAACAACATGTGGAATTAGAAAGACAGGCCAGGGAATTCATTGAAAATTGTTACAGGCCCTTAGAGTCCACCGCAAACGCTGGACGCTGGCTCCAGAAAAGTTTTGGTGAAGCTAACCGAAACCAAAATATAAAATAAATATGGCACGGCGCGCATGCACATAGATGACATAGCACGTGTCCTTCTCAATCCATGTACTTTGGCTCAAGACCCTGATGCTTGTGGAAAGCATGATCAAATCAAATCATTCTGTTGCAGCAGAAGCCTCCATAGGCATGGTGTGAGTCACTGAGTCACATCTACAACGTGCGCAACACTTCATGACCATAAAGGCCAAAGTCAGCTACCCAAAATCTAAGGGCAGCTTACCAGCCCCCCTGGTTGCAAACTGGCCCCCGATTAGCAAGAAAAAAGCTTAAA